AGGTGCTATATATATATATATATATATATAATTCCAAAGCTGGTAAAGACCTTTCAAATTTAGCAATAATAGTCATATAAGAAAAGTACTGATTTGTTCTTGAATCAACTTTTTTATGGAAAATGTTTTATGTAATTTTATTTCATTTTAAATAAAATGAAAGACATTCACAGTTAATCTAATTAGATATACATTATTAATGCCATACATTTTTAAATGTAATTAGATATACATTATTAATGCCATACATTTTTGCATAAATATTTATTCAGTATGATAGCTGTCTAACAGAAGTTAAATCCATTTCTCACTTATTCTGACAATGTACTTAACCCCAAATAAAAGAACCCAATAAAAATAGTTGTTAAATAATAGTGAAGTCACGTTGTAATAACAATAATTCATCTCTCTCGGTTTTTTTTTGTTTTCTTTGTGTGCTTTGCCAAAAGCCACTGTGTCAAGTGTCCTAGTTGGGTTACCGTAACGAACAGCAGCCGGCTCTCGATTTTTAATCCTAATTTAATCGTTTATGTTCGCCGAATTGACATGAAATCACTGACAAATATGAATATACTGTATTCAACTTCATTAAAATGTTATTAACGTGCCTAAACTCAGTAATTCACTAAAAATTACTGATCCCTCCGCGATGCGGAGGGATCCCTGGGTCCCTTGATCCCTGGGTGTTATTTTCCCCCATAATGACCAAGTCGCTGCAAATTATCCCGCTTATTACATGGCCACATTCTCAACAAAGTAACGACATGACTCCCAATATTAATTAAAATGCTTTTATGGATTTAGAAAATATTTTTATTGATTTAAAACATAGTTCTATGTATTGATTTAAATTTACATGCATCCGCTAAGAAAAATAGTCCGTTGTTACCGTTTTTTAAACAGTCAGAATGAAACGGCAGCTCTCAGCTGTGTGTTCACACTCCTAACTCTGATCTTTCTTTTCCAACAGTTAAGTTAACTGTAGGTTACTCTGAGTGACAAGCTTACAGTTAGTGAAGTAACACTTTTTTTTTGTGAGTCACGACCTCGCTGTTTCATTCTAACATAACGCTCCAAATATGACTGTTTCCACTCGGACTTCAATACAGCAACACCATTGTTTGGTTTCCATGGTAGCGTGTCTCTTTAGTAGCGTGCACTCCTTTCCTGTAAATTACAGGTCCAGCCAGGCAAAACAGTAATATGAAATATGAACGTTAGTTTTTAACTGAAATGATCAAATAAAGTCAAAATGTCACAGTGTTTACAAACATTGACCATACCGTTCACCAGTCCCCACCCCACTCTTTGTTTAAAACGAATTGGCCATCGGAATGTGTGTGTCCCAACCCCCCCTGTGATATCTCTTCACAGGGGGGAGAGAGTTAGACGCTCGTGAATTGTCAACGGGGGGGGGGCCTCTCTGCACGGAGGAGCCGCGGAGAAGTGAATCACAGTGATCTGCTATTTTAAAGTAAATTCAACACATATCGACCCTAAATATAGCATATATTAAGAACGAGAAAGTGTTAACATCGTTTTTTGTAAACATATGACCAATGTGCGAGGGTGATGACATCAGAGCATCGTCCTATGGGCTTAGCCCCGGACAGGTACAACAGGTATTCACTCAGAGGGGGGTAGTTACCCATTTACATGTCAAAAAGCAACATACAGTAGGCGGGTGGGGGATGGTGAACGTTTACATTTCTCTACAGCAGTGGTTCCCAAACTTTTTGTGCCCAAGGCACACCAAAGGACAAGTAAAAATCTCAAGGCACACCTATTGTGCGAAATAGCCCTTATAACACGTGTTATCACTCATATCATGTAAAATATCTGTAAATGTGCATAATTATTTACTAATGCCAAATAAAATGTATAGATAGAACAATCAGTGGTTCAAGTTAGTATATTCCTCAGTGTAACATATCCACTAGTTGCAAAGCTTAAACATTTTTATATATTTTTTTATTTTAAGGGAAAGGATGTTTTCACTACTCAGTTTGTCAACTATGTTACGGACAAACTTGATGTCATTACAATCATTTGATTAAGTCCTGCACTTCAAGTAAAATCAAATTTGAAAGGCTCTTGAGTCTATTCTACCATATATCCAAAGATTTTTTAAAGTTTAAAAAATAATTGTATTAAAGTTTTGTTTTTTCATGTGATATGTTCAGCACTGTCATTAAGTTTAGGGATATTTTGTATTATAAAACTACCATACAGGTCATTTTGATAGTTTTAAGAGATGTCATGTAAAACTCCAACCTGTGTAGATATACATTATACTATAAAGGATATCAGAAGCACTATTTTAGATATTTTAAATTTGAAAAAATGAGGTGCAACATAGTTGACAATGAAAGTCAAACATTTGACGCAAATAACATAGTTGACTGGACACATTATTAACCATCAGCACTATGTTAATTTCAAGGCAGAAGTGCAAAATTCCATTGATAATGATGTGTAATGACGTCTACATGTCGTACAAATTGTCAACTAGGTTACCTGTCAACTAAGTTACTACAGTTATTACAGTACTGGGTAACTCAGTTGACAGGTAACCTAGTTGACAATTTCCCTATTTTGACCCATCATTTCAATGGTAGGCCTTGCCTGGATGACCACATGTCATTTTCTTGAACAGGTTAACATCACATTTGCACATATAATTGAATTAAAATCATTAAACAATTGTAAACCATAACAATGTACGTAACATTGTTGATTGTCAATGAGTATATTAATTGACCATGTGCTATTATACATAAAATATTGTAAAAATGTAGAGGACAATCACCACAGTGTGTTCAAAATGTCTGCCAAAGAGGAACATGGCATCATGTGATGCTGGTGACATGGTATTGGGACAAACAATTTTTGAGTTAAAGGGGGAAGTTCTGTTAGTAACATAGTTGACAGAACTTTTGCGGACATTCATATATTAAGATATTTAAATTATTTAAAGGGGGAAATCAATTAAAAATATGTTATTATTCTTTAGTATTTAGACTTTTGAAATAAATGAATCATTTTTTAAATTTACTTTAATGGTTTTTTATTCATTATTTTGAATCCAAGACACCCTCAACTGAAAAACGGACATAGCAAAAACTGACAATTTAAGAACATCATGACACATTTCAAGCTAAATAAAGCATAGGATGCACATAATGTTTGTGTGATATTATAACATGCTTTCCAATAATAGGCAAAATATGATATTTTTGAAGAAAATAGTTAGAATAATTATAATTATCATCAATGGACATCAATGGACATGGAATGTACCCTAAATTGTAGAATCACTCAGCAGTTACATACACCAAACCTTCCAGTTATATTCCTATCAATATTATGAAGGCTTTTACAGAAGGGTTTGGTCATATATAATTCATAGCCTGAATTATATAACATTTTATACCTAAAAACATGGTGAAAATTGATATTTTAGGGCTGTTGACAGTATTTTCTGATTTATGGAGTGATACAAAGAGATATCCAAAATCCCTTCTGTAAAAGCCTTAGATACTAATATGACTACAAAATGAAACAATAATTTTGATCCTGGCTTTATCCAAAGTTCAGATTTCGGTTCCTGAAATGTGTTAAAATATGCGCATATTTCATGAGGTAATGGTTCATTTGGATATTTAAACATGCTATTTCAGAAAACTTGTAATACAAAAAACAATTGCCTTATTGTAAGTAATTAACTGGAGAAATATTTAGCTGATATCTTTAAGTTAAAAATACCCTATTCACCTGGGGTGTCTCGCCTTAATTAGATGTTTGATAAGTGCAGATCACATAGTAAAACACGTACACAGATACATTATTTTGTATTTTTATTAAATTCGACAATGTCAATTTCACTTTCCACTATGTCCACCGTTGTTTTTCACAACCAATGGCAGAACTTTATTGAGGCCTGTAATTAGTCAACTACAGGTCTCTTGAGTCAGTCTTTTTCTTCCAAAAAGCTTGTGACAAGATGTTATTGCTCTTGGGGCATTAAAAACAAGATTTTAACTTTAGTTTTTTATATAATATCTGCATTTTCTATTGTGAAAAACTAAGTCTTAGTTATTTAATATATAGCGCCATCTCCTGGTTAAACCCTGAAATTGGAGAATAGTGGGAGGGCCTAACATTCCTGAATACTGGTCTTTGGCATGCAACTGGCTGGCAACTGGCTGGCAGTCGGCAGGAAGCTGTATGCTGGGGTCCAAAATAAGAGGCTCCATCTGTAGTTTATTAAATATTAAGATTCCTTAGACGTTGTTTCCTGCAAATGACGCGTTTATCCGCCCGGTTCCGGGGGGGCCGTGCGTAACAGGTTAAGCACCTGATGATTAAAATAAGGGCTATTTGAGTTAGCCAGTCTCTAACAAATGTAAGTCAATAGGAAAAAAGCTTTTTGGGCCCAATGGCATCACAAACTGACACAGGTGTTGTAGTCCCACGGTCTGGCCACTACAAACATTTGCTCCAATGGTCCACTTACTTCCTGAGGGCTTGCTTTAGACTTCCCTTACGTATAGTACACACGGTTCCGTCGCGTTGACGCTTGCCGGTGGGTGTATCTGGCGCTTGGGGTTAACGACCAACAACCAATCACATTAATCTCCCGCCCCGGACACACAAAGCACGCGGTTTGATTGGCTAGCGCTTGTACTGGCATATGATTTGATTGGCTGGCGCTTCCGTCAACGTTTGAAGTTGAACTTTTCACAACTTTCAGCGCGAGCAACGGAGGCAAAGCGAAGCAACGCAACCACAATGCAGTTCGGCAAAGCGTGACGTCACCCCATTCAAATTGAATGGGAAGCGTCTCCGTTGAAGCACGCAACGGAACCGTGTGTACGGTCCATTAGAACCAGGAAAAGTGTGAAAGAGCTAATGGAGGAAGATAGCTCGAGGGACTGCATGCTGACAGAAAGAGATGTTTCAGAGCATGGGGTAACATCATGCAGAAAGGGAGGACTCACCACGCCCTCCTCCGCCGGAGCGTTGTCTCCCACCACCAGCATCGCAGGACACCTACAGAAATATCAATTACTCTCAACATCTTCTTTTCTGCCTCACTCTTTCACTATCAGAGTGATTCTGCTATTTATTATTTTGAGTAATCAATTACTACTGTCCTTTAAAATAGGGAAAAGTCACATCTTCAAGTAGTTTGTTTTGTCCAACATTCCAAAAAACCCAGATATTATATTTAGGGTTATGATAAACTGCACATTTCACAGATGGTGTTTTATTCTTCTTAAATGAACTCACTGACAAAGAGATTATCACAATTGTCAGTGGTGTAAAGTAACTAACCCTAACCTTATTTACTTAAAGGTGGGGTAGGTAAGTTTGAGAAACCGGCTCGAGATACACTTTTTGTTATATTCCATGGAATGCTCTTAACATCCCGATAGCAATGAATATCTTAAGTGCTTTGACAAAAAATCCATAAAAAAATTCATCTGTGGAAGCCGTAGTACTGTAAAAAGCACGACCAATCATTTTAGCCGGCCCGGCTAAAATAACTGGATGGCCTACCTGCCTGTCAGCCTTCCATCTGTGCACAAACTTATCTCGTGCCCTCATTGGTCATGTGCGCGTTCGTGTGTGTTGGAGGAGGGGCTCTGTAAGGAAGTGGCAGATTTTTTTCGGCTGCGTATTTTCAAATTCTAGCGCACTCGAGCTGGTTTCTCCAAAATTACCTACCCCACCTTTAAGTACTATACTTGTGTACAATTTTGAGGAACTTGTACTTTACTTTTCTACATAAACAATATGACCAACACTAAAATAAGACTTTAGTTACACCTGGTTTAGTCAAATAAATTAAATAACGTTAGCCAAATATAAATTAATTTGCAGAATGAGTACATTTTAAATATATTTAGATGCCAACATTTTTTTACTTTTACTCCGTACTTCTACTTTTGCTTAAGTACAAGATCTGAGTACTTCTCCCACCTCTGACAATTGTTCACCTTCTAACCCTGCAAGCTCATAGAGAGAATATCCAAATCAACTGGATTGAGAACATGGTGGTATTTTTGAAAGTGTGTCTGGACTCACTTCAGGGTCTTGGCGTTGAGCACCACTCCGCTGCGATTCATCTCCAGGTCCCTCCGACTGGAAAAGACGTCATGAACGTTAGAGAAGGGTAAGGTGCTTTTGTGTGTGTGTGTGTGTGTGTGTGTGTGTGTGTGTGTGTGTGTGTGTGTGTGTGTGTGTGTGTGTGTGTGTGTGTGTGTGTGTGTGTGTGTGTGTGTGTGTGTGTGTGTGTGGGTGTCCGTGTGTGTCTGTGAGTGTAGCTGTGTGTGTTTCTTCACCTGTTGTACATGTTCCAGAAGAGCTGCAGGTTGAACTGATTGACGGTGTTGTTGATCTGCTGCCTGCAGCTCTGCACCAGCTCTGTGTTGTTCATCAGCTCCTCCTGCACACACACACACACACACACACACACACACACACACACACACACACACACACACACACACACACACACACACACACACACACACACACACACACACACACACACACACACACACACACACACAGGGTCAATATCTGCCTGAAACTGATACATATAGTCTTTATTTGTAGAGTTAGAAATGCCTTTTTCCATTCCTTGTTTTTCATATTTTAAGTACCAGAAAATACCTTTTTTGATAAAGCGTATGGTTAGGGCTGGCTCAGGGTTGCCGTGGCAGCCCAGTGTTATGCTGCTGCAGGGTTAGACTGTCGGGGGGCATTCACCTTTCATCTCTCTTCTTCTATTTCTCTTTCTCTGTTGCCACTCATTTCCCATGAATACATTTTGCTAACTCAGCCACCCGGGAATCATCACGTGGCAGGTTGCCAGGGTCAAAGGTTACGTCTAAAGGTTGCTATTGAGGCCCGCTTTATATATATTTTTTGCTACACCTGCCAGATTGTTTACATCCTTTTGGATACAACTTTCTTTTAAAATACATTCACAATATGATTTTGGTCATTTTGATTGTCTATCTTAAATGTTTTTATCTTTTTATTCTATACACCACACCTCACATCGTTCTGTTCTACCTCCTCTGATGCTCTTCCAGCAGTGTACAACATTTTTACTTTGGAGTTTTTCCTTGTGCGCTGCAAGGTTCTAAGGTGTTGTATATAATTAAAATTGGACTGATTGATGGGTCCTTTCTTCTTCTTTTTTTTGTAATACTCTTTTTATTGTCACTTTTGTAAACATTCAGACATAACATACATACATACAACATACACCCACATACATACTCAAATGTGTGCAGAATAGTTACTGCGCATATAACATACATCTCTCCATGGGTGACAATAATCTCACCTTTATCATGTAGCAAGGTATCTATGTATATCTCAGCTTACATACCAATTACTTAACCTGTTAAGCCCTGAGCCTGTTTTTCAGGTCTCAGGCTCGAAAATGACATTCCCAGAACAAATGACCATATCTTCCCTTCTAAAAGGGTTAAATTAATCATCTTTTTTCTCAAAGTAATGATAAACCTGTGAGTTGGATGTAGAAAAGTCAGAATCAATATAGATGTTTTTTATTTTAAAGAAAATTCAGATTTTACATAGTAAAAAACTGTAAATTATAGTGTCCGTCCAAAAATTCTTTTTTACTTATAGTGAAAACTACCCTTGGATGATGGTAAGGTCGACTAAAAGCTTTAGGAATCCAAAGTACAACATATAATAAGTACCCTGTATCAAGATTGATGCAAAACAAGTGAAATTTGACCTTTTTAGAGAGATTTAGCCAAAAAACCCCACTTCTGGGGTCATTTGGGTGGATTTGACCTATCTCTGGCCCCCCTTGCTCGATTTTGATGAATGAAAGCTCTTTATAACCGCTAGAGCCAATGGAATCGAGGGAAAGTTATATACACACCAAAACGTTAACAAATAAGGAGTGAGAGTGACGCGTTACCAAAACCGGAAGCTGCATACACTCTGGTGGCTACCATTAGCAGCTAATTTTTCCGCTCCGATTTTTACATAAAAAATGGAATTATGGATTATAAATACTTTTTTAAAAGGCACAGGTACATTATCAACCTATGGATCAACAGTTGTAGCATTTTTTTTTTCGTTTTAATGCCATTGAACACGTCTTTTGACCTAATTGACAGCTACGGTGAGACGATCTGCCGTAAAAGCTCCGTAAAGGTACGTGTTGTGATGTCTGTGTTTGCTTCCCCTGTCGCAAGTTCGGATCGCTCAGTGATGATACTATACCTAAATAATCAGTGGAGTCTCAGCTTTAATCGGCTATATTGTATGTGCAGCTACGATAAGTAATAAGGGTATTTTTATCTTGAATTGTGTGCCGAATTTATTCGCTCAGGGGTCATTTAGACGCTTCTTATGAGACTTGTGTTTTGTTTTGGTAAAAATGGTTCATATCTTCAGTTAGCTGAGATTCTTCCCGTTAATCTGGTGCTACACATTAATAGTTTCATAAATGTTAAGAAGCCCTGAGACATTATCTCGAAAAAAAAATGTGGGAGGGGTCCAATGGGGGGACCGCCGTGCTTAAGAGGTTAAATAAAAGCACAGAGAGAAAATGAATAAGAATAATAAATTATAATCATAATGGCCTGAGGTGTGGCCTCATTACAGTGAGAAACATCAAATAGTGATAGGTCTTTTCTATTGTGAATTTGTATATACTTGCTGCTAATGTTAATTTGTATCACATTTGTATCTTATTCTATCTTTTACTACGTTTTAACTTGTGTAATGCTTGACAAAATAATTTCCCAATTCGGGATGAATAAAGTACTGTATGTATCTATCTGAACATAAAGAAAACTGTAATTGCACCTAAAAACATTTACTGTGTATCTTAGTTCCCAGACCCAGAGCGTACCTGGCTGAAGAGGTGAGGCAGCACAGTATCTGGCAGAGCGCTGGTCAGACCTGTCAGCTGGGGGGGAGAGGACATTGTCAGAAAATAAAAAGCAGCCCTGGGATTCCAATGTTTAAGCACCCACTGAAACAAGGAATACACAGTAAGAGAAGGCACCTTGCCGGCAGCCCAGTCAATCCAGCCTTTGCCGTTGGGGTCGATGTTGAGCAGGACCAAACCCTCCACCATGTCAGGGAAGATCAGCTGTGAGCAGAAGACATGGACACATCTGTGAGACCTGAGGCTGCTCACAACCCTGAGTGTGTGAATCCAGTACTAAACTCATTCTGATCAGTAAAGTACAGTTTAGGTAATCAGGATGTGACTTACAGCAAACTTGGCCAGAATGTAAGCTCCAGCTCCAACTCCGATCCCAACAATGCTCTTAAATCTAGAAAGAAAATCCATTAGAGGCAATAGTTTAATGAATGATAACAATTGTTAATAGTGGATATATATCGAGGCAACATGGATATAGTTATTCTGACAGTGTGATGACACTCTGCTGTGCCTATATGTTGTTGCATCATATGATTGTTTGCAGCCAAGTGTTGATCTGTGGCTGGTACTGAATGTCCCGGCTAAAATTACATCCTGTTGGCAGCCGAAGAAACTGCTCAGGAATCAAAAAGGCTGGCTAGCAAATCAACAATGCAACAACAGTGTTAAATCCTTCAGAATATAATAAAAAGTGTTGACTGGTTTTGTTTCTACATGAACTGTGGTCTAATTTCTGTAATTCCTCATGAACTTGAATACAATTGCATTCTCATGATCTTTCTGTATGTACTAACAATATCTAAAAGTGTTGGAGTAAAGGCAAAAATTGAAGCGATAAATCTGTTAATTTATGTTGTTTTTGCAACAACACAATAATGCCTCGTCTTCACAGCATGAAGAGGACATGATGTCCCTGCAGGTGGCTCTTATAAAACATTGGCTTTGTGTGCTGTCTGATAAATGTGGAACATGTTAGATTTAAGCACACACCCAAAGTGCTGCACCACAGTGGGCAGCATCCCGGCCAACTGGTCCATGGTGGGGTACTGGTACCTGTGGAGAGAAGGACACACCTTCATCATCATCATCATCATCATCGGTTCACATGCTATTTATGTGTGTGATCATCTGTTTTTCCTATAATGAGTATGAATACTTAAAACTGAGTTTGAGCAAATCATTAAAAACATTTTTTAACTACAGCAAAGAGTGGTGCAGGAATGAGTCCTATAACCTGGAAATATGTTAGCATTTTACCACTTCCGGTTCCCATCGTCCTAAAGTCAATGTTTCAGTGAAAATGGTGTGTGTGTGTTTCTAACTCTACAAACAAAGACTACATGTATCAGTTTCAGGCAGATATTGACCCAGTGTGTGTGTGTGTGTGTGTGTATGTGTGTGTGTGTGTGTGTGTGTGTGTGTGTGTGTGTGTGTGTGTGTGTGTGTGTGTGTGTGTGTGTGTGTGTGTGTGTGTGTGGCCTAGCATTACTATACTTGAATCATTAATTTTAGGGTGAAGACTTGGTTAGGGTAAAGTTAAGGTTAAGGGTAAGGGTTAGGGTTAGGCATGTGTTGGTTATGGTTAAGGTTAGGATAAGTATCCAGGAAATGCATTTAAGTCAATGTAATGTCCCCTGAAGTGATGTATACATGGTGTGTGTGTGTGTGTGTGTGTGTGTGTGTGTGTGTGTGTGTGTGTGTGTGTGTGTGTGTGTGTGTGTACCCTGGGGGCAGCTGTGAGGCTCCTATCTGCTGCCCTGGTGCGTCCACGTGGCACACCACAAAGTGTTTGGTGATCTCCTGCATGTCCTCATTGTTGAAGAAGGAGTTGAAGCACAGCTTGTCTGTGGGAGTGCGGAGGAGGAGAGGAAGTAAGCATGAACTAAAGACACATAGTGGAAGATTTAAAGCCACTATTGGTAAAATACCTGCCTTTTTTGGAACTGCTTATGAAGAATTGTTTGTTTGTAGCCTTTATTTAACCAGGTGAAAATCCCATTGAGATCAACGATCTCTTTTTCAAGGGAGACCTGCAGAATGTAACTATATAACATATTTAAGATCTGTCCTTAATGACGTTCAGGTTCTATGTTATTGTAGCAAATGTTTATGTCTATGAATGAACTACTGCCATTTTGGACAGTCTGTCTGTTTTAAGGGAAGAAATATTCTGGTTAATCAAACATTACTTATCTAACAAACTATCATTTAATACCTGTTGTTCCAGTACATGAGGAGGTTCTGGTCCTTTTGCCTATAGCTTAGCTAAAAGACTGGAAGCAGGGGGAACTGCTAACCTCAGTCAAATGTGAATTAAATCTACATTCTATCTACAAATGTTTTTTTATTTAAATGTGGTATCGTGTTTGCTAGTAAGCTACATAAGACAAAGAGTCAACAGTTAGCATTGTGATGGCTCTGACCCAGGCCAAATCAGTAAAGCTCAAATGCTTTACTGATACGGTAACATTTGTAATTTTGATTGGACCCAACAATTCAAACTGGGATAATAACCGCTAATGTTAGCCAATAGCAGAGATGATAGCATAGATTTACAGAGCAGCACCACTTGTATTACAGTGTTTTGGTCATAAAATGGTATATGTTGTGTTACAGTTAAGTTATTTTGTATGACTCCTCATTGTAGCGTATTTTTAAAAGAAGGGGGATATGAGGGGCTGTAATTACACTTTAAATGTTGAAGCTGCAGCGATGAACGGGCAGGTAGAGGCTGGAGTGCATTGCTGTGACCATGGAAAGCACATTTTGAACATCTTGCATCACTTCCTGTGTTGCTCATGTGTAGACCACACATTGGGATTTGTATGTAAATCGGGTATCATTTTTCACATTGGATTGATTTCCTGTTGTCAGTAGGTGGTGTTATGACTATGACTTAATATTGACCAGTAAAAGCCTTCAGGTTGGGACTCTCATCAAGTATAAGATAAGATAAGATGGTACTTTATTGATCCCAATTTGGGAAATGTTTGAAATGAAGTTATGAAGTTTGGAGCATTGGTGAAAATGTAATCTCAAGTTTAATCAACTTCCTGTTTCATGGTAGTGCTGTGGAGCCATTTGGCCACAACCAAGCGCAACACCTATGTTTTCAGTAAATGTTCACCATGCAACTTTAACCCCCTTAAAAAGCTTTTGGTTCTGCACAGAAATATCAATAATAATAAAATGTATTATTTCTGACTTTGTCAATGTACAGACCTTTCCTCCTGTTTTATCTTATCCTGTTTTTCAAAAATAAAAATGACCTCTATTTTCCGATCCAGTGTAGAAACAGTGCACTCAAAATGTGTGTCCGTCAGCTCTGTTCATGCCTCACTCTGGATTCGGCCCACTTCAGCTCACGTGTGTCAGACCGACAGAAGCCTCGCAGAAACATTGTTTCCTCCTCAGGCTCTGACTGCTAATTCAATCAATCAATTATGATGACAGCTTGGTCAGAGAGGAGGAGTAAAGGAGGTGGAGAAGGTGAGTGTTTGTGAGCTTGTATCGAGGAGTCCCCCGTTCCCCCCCCTGTACGGGCATCAGACGGTCAGCACTCTGTCTGCACTCCATCACCTGCTTTCTGCCTCTGCACTCTCCAGTGGTGTTAAGTACATTGAGTTTTTCTACTCCACTACAATTCAGAGGTAAATTGTGTACTTTTACTCGACTACATTTATTTAATATCTTTAGTCACTTTGCAGATATAGACTAATGATAAACAATATGATCAACACTTAAACAATACTTTAGTTATACCTGGATCAAATTCACATGCTGCAGAAAATGGAGTAATTAAAATGAGTTCCAACAGCATTGATAAACACATACAATAATTATAATCAAAACATATCATATATATTATATTGAAATGGGCAATTTGCACAATGACTACTTCTTCTTTTGGTACTTGAAGTATATTTTGATGCTTATACTTTTGTACTTTTACTTGAGTAGCATTTTGAATGCAGGGCTTTTACTGAAGTACAAGATCTGAGTTCTTCTCCCACCTCTTCTCTCTCTCATCTGTTCTGCTCTTTGACCTCTTGTCTTCATATCATGCTGCCTGCCTTTATTTATAGCTCTTTTCATCTCTTTTTCTTTTTTCTATATCTTTGCTCTTGCTTTCTTTACTTGTGTGTTTTAATCTGGCAGGACGCTGTGCCATCTGTTGAGTAGGAGTCGTTTTAAAAGGCAGAATCGACCAATTCTTCTTAATGTTTGATTTTCAAAAACAGATTCACAAATATTAGGTTCAACTTAATATTATTGCTTTTAACTAACCTAATACAGTTATGTGAAATGTGTTGACATAATACATTTCATTCAAGTCAACGTTTCAGTTGTTTCAGTGTAATGAGTACTTTTACTTATTGATGCTAATACTTTTATACTTTTACTTCAGTAAAACATTGAAATCAGGACTTTTGCTTGTCATGGAGTATTTTAAGACCATATTAATTGTACTTTTACCTCAATAAAGGATCTGAGTAATACCCTTTTCACCCCCTGCTCTCCTGCTTCCTTCAGGCAGTGAATAGCCTGGTTCCGCTGTTTGTGAGCTGTACTTTTATTTTGTATTACCCTGTGTTGTTTGATAATTGTTTTAATGCGATAGCTAATCAATAATGCACAAATACACACACATGACACGCTCTCCTCCAGACCCCCCGTCCCTGTTTCACCTCCACCCTGCCAGCCTCCCTCCGCAGCACGGGGATGTTTTTTTTACCTTCATTTTGTTGCTGCCTCTCGCACACCCTTTCATTTGCCTCATCATCCCTTCCTCTTTTTACGTTTCTGTCGGCGCACACACACTGATAAACTGAAACACTGACTTTAATTAAATGTATTATGTCAACAGATTTCACATAACTGTATTAGGTTAGTTGAAAGCAAAAATGTTAAGTCGAACCTCATTTTTTAAATTTAAAGTGGACCTATCATGCTATATTTGAAACATATATTGTAGAACCATACCTATATAAAACATGTCTGTGAAGTTTTTTTTCCAAATACCAAACAGATCATGCATTTTAGCCATGCCTCATTTCGCTCTATTTGCTCTTTTCCAGCCCTGTTTTTGCAAGGGCTGATTCTGTGAGAAGTCTTCTTCGCTGCTTTTGTGGCAGACTAAAGCGCCACTTACAGGCCTGGCATATGTACTACAGCGTCTCCAGCGCTTTCGAGCGGCAATGGCCGTGGCCGTGGCCCAACCCCCCATTCCCCTGATAGGTGGAGAGTTGCCCATATAGGCGGAGCTCCCTGTTTCTGACGTCAGAAAAATTCAAATCTGTATCAGCTCCGTTGCAGCCCCATTTTTAGAGATTTGGGTATGGAGGAAAATAGAGAGGGTTGTGTTTTCTGACACTTGGGGAGTTCCCTGACACACCGGGGACACATATTCATGTATAAAAGACGTACAAAAGTGCATTTTGCATGATAGGTCCCCTTTAAACGTAATATTATTGCTTTCAACTAACCTTATAGTTATGTGAAATATGTTGACATAATACATTTAATCAAAGTCAAAGTTTAATAATAATAATAGATTTATTTTGTAAGCGCTTTTACAGGTGCTCAAAGTCATTTTACAGAGATAGTGAAAAGAAAGTTTTTTTCAGTGTACTTCATGAAAAAACCCCTGATAGGCTTTCTCTCATTGCTTCTACATCGCTATCTGTCCTACAGATGCTCATATATTATCCTTCCCTTCAGTTATTGACCAATAACCCTGTTAAGATCTGGCATATAGAGCATGCTGCGAGGTGGTAGAATAACATGAATATCATGACAGTCAGATTTTAGACTTCAACATAGCTTGAAAGGTTATGGACCATATCCTGTTTTTATGATGAAAAACATACGGATATCATTGCAGGAAATACCTTTTGTATAAGCGTATTAAATACTTCCCATAGGCTAAATGTTTTCCATAATTTCCAGATAGTTTGCAGAAACTTAAAGTGTGTGTACGCAAGCAGAGCGCAGGCAGGAATGGAGTCCAATTATCACTTCTGATAAGTGCAGAAACACCTAACCTCACACACACACACACACACACACTCTGCATTGATACTCACGGTTCAGCCCCACATCGTGGTAGGTGAGGATGGCAGGCTTGTTTCCTTTGGGCGCGCCGCGGATCACCACGTGCAGCATCCCATAAGGAGTCTCAACATCATGTTCCTGTGAAACACACACACACACACACTGTCACTCACCTGGTGTTCACACACTGTCAGCTGTAAGTGAGAACATTTGCACCTGAATCCTGATCCTCAGTCTCTGGTGTTTCACATCCAGACGCATCAGTCTGTCTGCATTGTAAGAAAGTTTTAGACTTTTCTCAAACGCTCCTTTACAATTAAGTGCAAATTGGAGTAAATGATTGGACGTGGATTGACTAGCAATAGCTATACTTCGCAATAGTTGATTAAAAAGACTGTAAACTATAAAGGTATATTGCAGAAAATAAAGCAAATATTAGATAAAGCAGTGTTGGTGCCAAAAAGCGAAGGGAACAATATAACAATGTAAATAGAAAATAACATAGAGACCCTGACAGTTTGGAGGAATTTAAAATATTGGATTCAAAATCGAGGTTTAAGATAAAATGTGGGAGGAAACATTCAAAACTGGACATGCACTAACAAACAGCTTTATGGGAGATTGATTTTAATGAAGACCTTATCTTCTTAAAACAGAATTATTATTCTGTTTGAGGTGTTTGTATAGTTTGTATAATTATATTCATATAGTATGGATGTTTGATCCTCCCTGAGAATATACTTATTCATTAACCTGTTAAGCCCCAAAGCCCCCGTTGGCGGGTCTTTTTTTTTTCACAAATAACATTTTAATCTTTTAATTTTTTATTAATTTTTTTTATTTAATTTTTTTTATTTAATTTTTTTTTCTTTGGATGGAATGAATACCTATGGGGATAATTCAATGTAATACATCATTTTTATAGTCTGGTACCTAAAAAAGGTCAAATGGCACTGATGGAACCAGATGTACCCAAATGTGCCGAAAGCTTATTCCGCCTGGAACCTTTTTTTGCTAAACCTCTCTAAAAAGGTCACATTTAACTTGTTTTGCCTCAATCTTGATACAGGGTACTTATGATATGTTATAGTTTGGATTCCTAAAGCTTTTAGTCTACCATCCCATCATTCAAGGGTGGTTTTCACTATAAGTAATGTTTTTTCTTTAGGCGGAGGTAAGAATTTACCTTTTTTTACTATGTTCCATCTGAATTTACTCTGACTGAGAAAGATCTATATTGATTCTGACACTTCTACATCCAACTCACAGATGTAACCTTGCTTTGATAAAAGAAATTATTCATATAACCCTTTTAGAAGTGAAGTTGTAGTCATTTGTTTTGGGCATGTCATTTTCGAGCCTGAAACCTGAAAAACAGGCTCGGGGCTTAACAGGTTAAGGATTTTGCCTTTTATAGCAATGATAACAACATCCTGCTTAAAGCTACAACATCCACGTGATAAACAACCTATTGCAAGTGATGCAGTCATTTTTTTTTTTGCAATACATGTTTGCAAAAAACATGAAAGTAAAGATCTCTAAAGGGTTATAGAGGCTCCAAATATTTGGCTTGTAGCGTTTCCAAACCTCTCATGACCCACATTTTGTCAGCACGAGATGGTCAGAGCCAGAAAACTCAAAATGGTGGTACGAGACATGTGTTAAAATGAGCTGCGCAACATAGGCACACACACACACACACACACACACACACACACACACACACACACACACACAATGTTGTTTTGGTATTGTTATGCCTGGTTTTGACGGTAACATTATGCCACTGCTGTCAATACTCAAATGAACCAGATAACCAGAGATCAGATGGATCATTATGTCCTCCTCTCAGCACATTTCCACACCTTCCACCCTTCAGACACAGCAACAGTCGTCTGATAATCCTCTGTCAACCTGCAGCATCTTGCAACAGCCTCTGCTATTTATAACAAAAAGCATTCACAAATGAAATGACTCCCAGTGATTCACAGTACAGAAACAAAGTGTGCCAACTGCCAAAAAACTGTTTAATCTCCGCGGCAGCATAAAGTCACGCAGCCAGCAGTTATGAGTTAATCCAGACAGATTATCTCTCCATTTCAGATTAAACATCAGAGTTATCTGCAATCCGCTTTTAATTTGAGGCAGTTACTGCACCAGGGGCTTTGTTCACAGTGTGTCTGGACTCTGCTCCTCATGAGGAGATGTTCCACTGAGGCATGGTGACCTTCAGACATCCAGCAGGAAACACTGAGAGGAATCTACCATATCTCTCAGGGGAAAGGATCTCAGCCGTCCAAAATATGACAAAGCATTTGTGATGCTCCACAGCAACGTGATTGATTTATTTAATGGTGATCTTCGAGCACAAAGCCCCGTGCTCTTTTCCTTCTTTCCACACACTCACACACATATTAACACACACATTTTACTCATTCATTCCAAGGTTGCCCAAATGCATGATACTGCAGAAGGTTTAACATTTCCTCTACACACCAACACACACAGACACAAACACACACTCATGTTGATGTGTTTAACCATTGCATTGCTCAGCATGTGTGTCTGCGAGCTTATGTGTGTCAGTGGGCCAGACTCACAGAATGACCTATCATTTGATGCTGATGCTGCACTTTCTTCTTCCCATAGCAGAATATGAGATAGAACACATCCCATGTATCATTGAAACATCTTTTTTTGACTGCCAGCTAAAAATGATTTGTTATTTATTTATTTTTGCCAAGAAATACAACAAATGTACCATTTGAAGGCAAATGCATTACAAGAAATGAATGCAAAATGTATTCTGACAGTGTGACTCACACACACACTAAATGAAGGAATCCCACACACACTCCGCCCTTACACTCACCCCGTCCCAGCACTCAGGCATGGCTCCACAGTGAGTGTGCTGACGAAGAAGAAGAGGAGGGAGCAGGGAGCAGACGAGCAGCCAGGCCTCTCCTGTTTAAGGGACTAGGTCCTGGGCTGTAGGTGGAGGGTGGATGTGGTGCTGCAGAGTCTTTGTCTGCTCCACACTGCTCCCACCCACACTCTTAAGCTGCTCCCCCCCACTGCCCACCCCCTTCTCCTCTCACTATAGGCACAGAGAGAGGGTGCGGGGCAGGCTGGAGATGATTGGCTCAGAGTGCTGCCTCCCTTGCACACGATTGGTCGGCTGCCGTGTCAGTCAGGAGCCACTCTCTCACTCTCCTCAGCACCACTGCTCTATTTTAGATTGTTTTCTGCTTCACTGTCTCTGTTTTTCTCAGTGCTTTGTTTCAGCCTTTTGGCAAAAACAGCTTCTGATCATGAGTTATTCAGAATGAGGTCAAATCTTTTTTGTAAACTATTTTTTTGAGAACTCAATGTTAGACTGCAAGTTGGCCTGGATACAGAATGTGATGCAGTAAGAAGAGGAGAATCATCTCGCCTTGACTGCGTCACACTGTGTTTTTCAAGCAGCTCATCAGAACTTACATGCATGCACATTACACTAGCTAATGCATCCTTAAGTCACCGTGAAATCTTGTTGCAAAATCCATTCATTTAAATGGAATCACAGCGATTTGTAAATCTGTGACGTAGTAAATCAACACACATCCTTGTCGCACCATTTTCTACGTTTTCTTTAGCTTTGATCATACATTGAACTGCAAAAACATAGCTGTATACAATCCACTTTATTGAACCTCTATTGAAATTGCATTTGGGTGACTATGTACTATACCTAGTATGTTATCCTACTTCAAGCCTTATTTTAGACATGTTGTCTGTTTTTAGCACCTTTTTGTTACCTTCTCTCTGGAACGTTTATGTTTTCTTTGCTAGCTTTCATTTCCAAACTCAATTGGACCTACCTGGTCAAATGTAAGATGAGAATAAACAGCTATTTTAACTCACAAGAGCTAGCATGGTCCTTTATTTGCAAAGCTAGCCTGTTAGCATTTAGCTTGCTAGCTACAGTTGTTTGTGAACCAGCCCTGCAAATGTTCACTTCGTCACAAAGCCTCCAGACCTTTTCAGTTCAAAAACAATTGAGTGAAGATTCTTTAGAAAAGGGGGATCATACTGGGTATATTTAGCTAAAAGAAATGTGGCTGATATAGAGACGTCTCTTACCCAATGTAAGTCAATGGGAAAAAGTCTATTAGGGTCCAATAACGACACAGACAGATACGGAAACTAAAAGAATTGTCTTCAATGTCTGACGCACTTCCTTGGGGTTTATAAAGACAATGTAGCCAGGGTTTAGTTAGAAGGGGGATTACAATCCTTGAATTGAAATTGATTGTTAAAATGTGAGATCAGTGAAGATAAAACAAACATTTTGGTGTCAGCTGATATATTGATGTTTTCCTTCTTATTATAACACAGTTCCAAACAAAATGGATGTGTTACTTGCATTTTTTAAAGTTTTGCCTCAAAGAACTATAATTAAACAGTTAAAACACATTAAAACAAAAATGAATTGGATGTTTCCACAGTGATGCATGACAGGCAAGAATAGGAAAATAACTTGGATTTTGAATTTGTTCTCAAGGCCAACCCATGGCATTTGGCTCTGTCTGCGTAGAAGGTTCATTATTTGGTTCCAAGTGGTTAGATTAAAGAATTTTAAACTGATGTGGCTGTGGCTCAGGGGGTGAATGGGCGTCGACCAATCGGAGGGTCAGTGATTCGATCCTCAGTCCTTGTAGTCAAGTGTCCTTTGGCAAGATACCTAACCCCAAATAACCCCCGGAGGAAAGCCCATGATATTGAAGTGTATGACTGAAACTGTATTTCCCCTAGGGGGATCAATAAAGGTTCATTTTAATCTCAATCTCAATCTTAAACTAAGTAACTTCACAAAAACAAAAATGTGTCAGCTCAATGACATGTAATCAGAGGTGGGATGTAACCAAGTACATTTACTCAAGTAATGACTTAATTATATATATTTATTTTTAGGCAATTTAAACTTTACTCCACTACATCTCAGAGGGAATTTAAAGATCAATATACTTTGACTTTGTGATCATCCAGCAGAGCTAACCCGAGACTTGTTTTTGTTGTGACGTTTGATATGAGCTCTGCTAAAGCAACACGCTGCATCTCCATTTCAAATAGATTATAATATTGAAGTTTTCAGAAGG